TTAAATGAATCTTGATCGTTGACTCGGATATTTTTTGAATTATCATTGTTGTTATTTTTTGGGAGTGTAATCTTTTTAAAGAATGATTTGGAAAGAACGTCGGTCAAAATGTGACAAAATTACAATAATTAACTCAAAAGTTTTTTATATACATTTTTCTATTTTTTATTTTTCAATTAAGAGCACACCAGGGAAGAAATATGGTTATGTGGGGAAAATTTTCAGTTTTAATATTCCATGGATGCATGCTGCATTTTTTATTTTGCAAAAGTTTAAGTTAGGCAGAAAGTAAGCGAAATTCTATTCAAATGTTTGAAAAGTGCTGGGGGAGGGAGATCAGAATGAAGAGTATACATGTGTTTTCTATCTCGCTAATATTTACTTTACTTTTTTTTTGGTCGCAAATAAATTAATCAAAGCTTAATAAAATCATGTTATAAGAGGGATAAAGGCTAGTTCAAACCATGGTTTGGAGAATTAGATGAGAATTGTCAAAATGTTTAGCCTAAACCCCAACTTAAATTAACAGAAAGCAAAGCATGTTAGTTCGAAATTTTAGACTTTGTGGCTGCCCTTAGTCACTAACTCACCATCAACAAATTCACAAATTAGAACAATTTTGAACACTGGGCCATCTAATTTTGATGATATATTTTTTCAAAGTCATGATATGTTTGTTACGATGAAAAAGTAAATTTACATTTTGGTCCAACATAAACCAAAATTGAACAAAAATTTATTTAGACAAAAAGATATTTATAAAACATACTGCCTAAGAGTGAACATTTTCGTTATTTAGGGTCGATTATCACAACAGCGGGAGAGATTGATGTAGATGTGGCCTATAGGATTAAGGCGGGATGGTGTAAGTGGAGAAGTGCATCTGGGGTATTGTGCGATAAACGAATACCCACTGGACTAAAAGGTAAGTTTTATAGAACGGCTATTAGACCAGCTATGTTGTATGGGACGGAGTGTTGGGCAACTAAGAAACAACATGTAGATAAGATGAGTGTGGCTGAGATGAGGATGCTAAGGTGGATGTGTGGTAAGACTAGACAGGACAGGATTAGGAATGAGTGTATTCGGGAATGGGTAGGAGTAGCACCGATAGAAGATAAGTTGAGAGAGAATCGTTTGAGATGGTTTGGTCATATTCAACGGAGACCAACAGAGGCAGTAGTGAAGAGATGTGATACTGTAATGATAGATGGAAGTGTTAGGGGACGGGGTAGGCCTAGATTAACGTTAACTAGCGTTATAAATAGAGATATGAATCTACTTAATTTGACTAATGAAATGACCTTTGATAGGGCCGCGTGGAGAAGAAGGATTCATGTAGCCGACCCCATTTGATGGGACTTAAGGCTTGGTTTGGTTTGGTTTGGTTTGGTTTGAAACCAAACAAAGTGAATGGTTTTACTATTATTTTTGCTCTCCTTTTCATCTCTCTTGTGCATATATCACTGACACCATACACAAGACCTATGTCAAGTAATCAACATCAAATACAGGAGCATCTTCAGCACATCCATTGAGTTCTTCTATCCTCCCAGGCAAGGCTCAATTGTTCTATACACCAAATCATTCAAGCAAAATTGTGCTGACTTATTTCTCTCCCTATGTACCTATATTTTCTTCTTCTAGAATCTAAATCTTATTAATAAGTAATAAAACGTTGGCTTGTGTGTGAACTCCCAGTCAAGACTTGTATCTCTGCACCAAGGCTCGAGTGTACTTAATCTACTTGCTTTGCACCTAGATCTTAATAAGCTTAAAAGTTTGTTTGTGGCATAGCTTCCACTTTTGGTATAAAGGTTTTTGTAGTGATTCTTCTTTTGTTCTTCTAGATTTTAAAGAGCTCAATTCTTTTGTTGAGCATTTTTTATCTGACATCTTTGTTTGTAGGTTTCACCCCTTTTGGCATCTTAATACTACATTTATTTGGAGAAAAAGAAGCTTGACGATAAAACCAGATTACCAATTACGAACACTTCACCCGTTCATTGAGTGTTATAGCGATTCCGGTTTTCCCCCGTCATATAGAGTGTTCCGAACTTAAGTTCCGTGGTTGGTTGTTGTTATCTATATCTTGTTTCCGTCATTTAATTCTTTATATTTGAGTTTTGGGATGTGTTGGGTAAGTTTGGGACAGGTTGGTTGGGTGTTGGAACAAATGGTTACTGTTCAGAATTTGGCATCTTCGCTCGAGCGAGGCTTTTTGCGCTCGAGCGAGCCTTGGGTTTTTGCTTCTTCGCTCGAGTGAGCCTTGAGTTTTTGCTTCTTCGCTCGAGCGAGCTTTCTTTAATGTGTCTCTTGGCTCGAGCAAGCACTTTTGCGCTCAAGTGTGCGTCTGCGTCTAGTTTGGACCTGAAAGTTGGTATTCTTCGCTCGAGCAAGCTTTCTTTTGCTTGAGCGAGCAAGCTCTATGTTTTGTGTTCCTTCGCTCGAGCGAACACTCTTGCACTTGAGCATGCGTCTGGGTTGCAGACCTGAAACTTTGCATTGTTCGCTCGAGCGATGCTTCCTGCGCTCGAGCGAGGTTCTTTTGTGTCTGGTTGCTCGAGCGACCACTCATTCGCTCGAACGAGCCCTGTATATATCAGATCGCAACAGCGTGATTTTAACCACTTTTTCATCCCTTTTTTCACTCCAAACCCTAGATCCGACTCCCTCTCTCTCTAAACACTCTCTCTCTCTACAAATACACCTCATTGTGGTGGTTTTCTACCCTAATCCCTTTGTATAAAAGCTTGAGTATTGCGTAGGCTTCGTTTTGATCCGAAAATCCTTGGATTTAGAGCATCTTGAGTCTTCCTTTTCGTCTCCTTTGGGCTTCTCCTTTTGAGGTAAGGACAATCTACTCCTTCCTATGTGAGTGTTTGGAGAATGGGTTTTTATGTAGGTTTTTTTAGTTGTAGGATATTATTGGATAAAAAAATTTTGATGTTTGGGAAGATAGTTGGGTTTTTTTGTGATTGGATGTAATGTTTGTGAGAGAAAAAGTGAAATGATTATGAGGTTGGATGTGATATTTTGTTTGGATTTGTTTTTTTTTTTATTTTGCAAAAAGTTTGTCTTTTAGTGTAAAAAATCAAAAAAAAATTCAACACACAAACTTCCCAAACACCACCTATGGGTTTTGACATAAATATTGGTTATTTTGTATAGATGGTGGTGTTTGAGAGTTTTGGGTAAAGTTAGGGTTTGATTAGAAATTATAAAAGAGGGGTTTTCATGTCTTTGGGCTTCTTTGCATATGAGAGGTCTTGAGATTGGATCCATTTGTGTATAATTGATGAAATTGAGTATTTGGGACTTGACGTTTGAGAATGGGAAGTTTTACCCTAGTTGGAAATTAAATAAATTATTTGGTATAATATGAAATTGATTTGAAGATTATGAAATTGGAAGAAATTGTAATTAAATGGTGTAGTTAGATTGATAAATCACTCACTCATGGATAATGTAATAATTTATCTGTTTGATAGATTTGTTTATTTATCTAGAGATAACTATTTTGAACTATCGGTGGAGGATAGCTATAGTTGTTGTAAAACTATATGATGATTAGGTAAATTGAAACTAATAAAAGGAATTATGTCACTAATAATGACGGGTACATTAACACATCAAATATGTGCTTAAATTGATCATTGTATATGATAAAGTGTTTAAATACATTGCATATATATATTTGTTTGGGAGGAGATAGGGGATGTACTCCATTGTGTGGGAGGAGATAGGGGATGTATTCCACTGTTTGAGAGGAGATAGGGGAAGGACTCCATTGATAATTAAGTTGGCCAGAATGTCCAGGATGAAAGTCCCGAAATCTTATATACGTTTGAATAACGTTGATGATTGAAGTATGAATAATATGAGTTGTAGTCTTATTTTGAATTGTTGACAATTGAAGTGTTAATAATATGAGTTGTAGTCTTATTTTGAATTACGGATAATTAAAGTGTTAACAAAATGAGTTGTAGTCTCATTTAAATTGTTTGGATAAATAATGAAATGTGTTTATGAATCGATTTGAATAAATAAATAGAAGTAGATTGAAATACTGTTGTAAGTGTCGATTAATTTTGAAAAGGAGATATGTTGGTTTACAAGTGTTGACCATTTTTCAAATACTAATGTTTTAGTCTTTTCTCATATTTAATTTAGCACATCTCTACTGGGCTTTGGCTCACCCTATTTGGGACACCATTTTCAAATACAGGTGATATGCCGCCTCCAAGATCTTAACTTGGGAGGTTTAAGAGTTGAAGACTCTGTTTTTGTTATTTGTTTTGTTGATTTCAAGTAAATGCAAGCCAAGGGCTCTACTTGTAAAGAGTTAGCACTCTTCTTTTGGTTGTATCCAAGTGTTGACTTGGAAAATTCTAAGCCTGTAGGGTATCTACTTTTGTTGTCAACATGTAACATCTTTTGTAAACAAGACTCTGATGAATGAAAACATGATGTTTCCTTTAAGATTCTAGGACTTGTAAATGATTGATTATGTATTATTTTGAAGGCATTATATGGACCTTTCCTCGAACCTATTATGCCTCATCATTTAATTGTCCAAATCCTTGGGTTTAAAAGGCCCAACATTTTCGGCAACCTTGTGTCCGATAAGGAATCATTAATTAGGACTTGATTTTTTTCCTCTTTTCTTAAGCCAGCCCAATTTCACAGACATATTTCCTCTAGGCCTTAATAAAACTCATTCTATCTTACAAACCCAACCCCTCACTAACAAACTCATTATTACACCCACATTATGAAGGTTCTGATTCTTCTTCAACTTCATAGATAAATAACTTTTAGATAGTTTTATATATTCATTACATGCCATAAAAAGACAAGCAATTATTATGTCATATATATATGAATTTTAATTCAAAGATAATAACTTTTACATAGCTTAAATATTTATTATTTTATCATTGGATTCCAAGTTATTTTATTCAAAGTTACATGTTTCATGTTTGTCTAAGCAAATCCAAGTCTGAAATTTTTTTTAAAATAGTTGGACATGATTGGCAAGTGTCCAACAAGTGCCCGTGTCCAACACGACATGCCACCTATTTGGAAGTGTTTGTGCTTCGTAGACGGTTAACTTCATTCCCTCTCCTCTTAGTCACATTTGAATTTACCTCCCCAATTAAATTTCTTGAAAGGGACCAAATTCCTAGGAATTATTAGATCAATTTGGCAACCCAACCACCATTTTGTTCTATTGACCAGTCCTCATTGAAATAATATCTGACACCTCAAGCAACAATAACGACTCACCACTCCTATCACCATCAAGAGAAACCCATAAACCATATGCCAACAACGTTGACAACATTTAAAACATTAAAACTAACAACTAGACAAGGTTTTGAAAAACACTAGCAAATGTAAGGTAATTAAAAGATGATACATGAATATAATATATGCATGAAAGTATATAATACAACAAAAATCAGAAAACAATTTTGCCAATAAGAAACAGTTCGTGCAACCTCTTCAACATATTGATTTTATCTAACAAGATACTACAAATATCATAATATTTCCAACCACGAAAAGCAAGTGAACTCATAGATATATTAATAACCAAAAGCACACAATTCAATAGAAATTTTTAATAAGCTTTAGATTGTACCTGGAACATGGCTGTGCATTAGATGCCAGCACTGTAATCCGTAGGTTTTAACGATTTGCTAATGATCTGCATTATCATATCCTTTATTTGAGACAACTTCTTCAGCCCTTCAGCAGATTCAGCCTTCATTTTTATTAAATCTGCCTCCAAATCCTTGCCTTGGCCTGAGGAGGTGCATCCATTCGAATCTTTGCCCTTGACGCCCACACCCTTGCCAAGAACACTACTGTTGCTCAGTTTCTCAGCTACATCACAATCATTCACCACGGAACCTTGAGAAGTGGCAGTGAGCATCATCGAATCAATTTGTTCCTGAAAAAAATATATTAGATACATCAAAAACATCACACAGTAACTAATGAATGCCAGAAACTGCATAATTAGATTAACTTATTATGTAAGCAAAGTCACATTCCTTTTATGTTAATTCATACTATTTATGCTTAATAAAGTTTCGAATACATCGTAGGGATCATTTCAACAATTAAAGTGGAGTATATGAGGAAAAGGTGGGCCCAACTCTTGGATACACGATTTGCATGGCTTATACGAAAATTAAGCAAAGTGAAGAGAGGAAATGTGTTTCAATGTGTGGGCCAGGGTCCAGCTGTAGATACACACGAAAGGCCATATTAGTTATGGGGCAAGAATACCAACCAGACCCTGTTTCTGGATAATCTATTCAACCACAACTTTTTTTTTCTTTCTATAGACTTAGAAAATATGAGGAAGAAGGAATATATTTCTGCCATGGAATTGACCAACCATGTCATAACCATGGAGTTTTCAGCGTCCCAACTGTCAAACAGCGGATCATTAACAGCAGGAGCCTTCTTGTTACCAGTGATGTAACCGATCTTTCCTTGCCCACGGATATACATCCAGACAAATTGTGACCAGCGGAGAAAATTATCACCATTTAGGCAGATGGTGGTGATTTGGACAGAGTGAGAGTTGGACGTTTTCACCGGAATGACAGCGGCAGGGGTTGAAGTGGTTTCGAACGTGACTTCCGACATGGCTATGACGGTTTTAAGGCTGCTGTGTTTTTTGTTGCTCTGATACCAACTTAGAAAATATGAGGAAGAAGGAATATATTTAACTTAGAAAATATGAGGAAGAAGAACTCCGAAAATATGAGGAAGAAGGAATATATTTCTGTTATATTCAAAACTTCTTATCTTACAAGACCAAATGACACTCCTTATATAGGAGATATTACAAATATCATTATAACCCATTATATGCCACTTACATATTATATATTACCACTATCTACCACTATCATATTATATACATGCCACTATCTGCCACTAACACCACTATCATATTCTATACATGCCACTATCTGCCACCAACACCACTATCATATTATATACATGCCACTATCTTATTATATACATTAACACAAATTTCCAGCATATAGTATACTAAATTATTAGGCATATCCCATGACTCCTGGGCAGGAATCCCATGATGTTGCCATAAAAGTTCCTTAACACTTGCTCATATAAAAAATACAATAAAAATTCACCTTGAATTTACATGTCACCCAAAGTTCTGAAAAGCGGTTGTGGTCGCCGTAACGGTGGCAGTGGCACGGTTGCGGTTGCGGTTGCGGGGTGTAAAGGCCGTAACATAACGGTTGCAGTAACCGGAACTGTGAATTTTTTTATTTTTAACATAATTTTAAAAAAACTTACCGATGCGCATATTTTTTTTCCATGATCATATTTATTGAGTTTAAAATAAATATTGATCAATTGTTGTAAATTTTTAAGTATGATCCAATATATTTTATATTTTTAAATCACTATAAAATGAGTTTTTTATATTTTATTTTAATAATTAATGACTTTATATTATACAAAAAATCAATCACTAACTATTATATATAAAAAGATAATGACCACACTTACTATTATTATTATTATTATTATATATCACTTAGAAAATATGAAGAAGAAGAACTTCGAAAATATGAGGAAGAAGGAATATATTTCTGTTATATTCAAAACTTCTTATCTTACAAGACCAAATGACACTCCTTATATAGGAGATATTACAAACATCATTATAACCCATTATATGCCACTTACATATTATATATTACCACTATCTACCACTATCATATTATATACATGCCACTATCTGCCACTAACACCACTATCATATTCTATACATGCCACTATCTGCCACCAACACCACTATCATATTATATACATGCCACTATCTGCCACTAACACCACTATCATATTCTATACATGCCACTATCTGCCACCAACACCACTATCATATTATATACATGCCACTATCTGCCACTAACACCACTATCATATTCTATACATGCCACTATCTGCCACCAACACCACTATCATATTATATACATGCCACTATCTTATTATATACATTAACACAAATTTCCAGCATATAGTATACTAAATTATTAGGCATATCCCATGACTCCTGGGCAGGAATCCCATGATGTTGCCACAAAAGTTCCTGAACACTTGTTCATTTAAAAAATACAATAAAAATTCACCTTGAATTTACATGTCACCCTAAATTCCTAATTGGAAATCTATTTCAGTTTCTTTCCCTTTCCAAAAAGTTTGTTTTCCTAGAATCGACATGCTCATTCAAGTACCACCCATTCAAAGAGAATTTGAAAATTTTGCCCCAAGTCCTTAACACTTGTTCTTTTAGACTTCATTTCTCCTACAAATATGTTTCTCTAGCATCCAAGAATACCAAACAATTTTTGAGAGAGATCTTTTCCTACAATACAAATATGTTTCTTTAGCATCCAAGTGTGAATCCTACTCATTCTGCAAAAACAAAGTGTTAATGCCACTCCCATACTATTTGTGCAAGCGGTGGATTGTTTTTTCCAAGGTTCCTTAATACCCATTATCATAAACCTACTTCCTTGCATTTCCATCAGTTAACTTGTCAAAAATATATCAATCAGTTAAATGCAAGTTTATAAAACTTACGTTGCTTGAAACATCCCTGAGTTGAAGTGGCAAAAAAAAAGTAAAGAGTTTGGCAAAGTCCTCAGCATTGTGTTGAGGCCCCATTCTTGCCATGGCCTCAATTGCTACCTCTATCTCTCTCTTTATCTCTTCAAATTGGAGGCTATATTTACGATGCTGCCTTCGAATATCAATCACAAGTGCATCTATTCGTGCTTGAGAGCTTTGGTCAAACCTGGAAACCACAAAATTAAATGCACAAATTAATAAGAATTCCAATGCATTACAACTTGATAACAATTTCGACTGCCTAGTGTGGAAATCAACATGTCAATCTACCTTCTACAAGAAACAAATAAAAACAAGGATATATAACCATACATAAGTGACTACTATTCCATTTATCACCACACTCTACAAACCATTTATTTATTTATTTATGATAAACCACAGGCATTTTTTTTTATATTTTTTATGTCTAAGACAATAGGAAAACTATGAAAAAAATTATCAATATTCTCAACATGACTAGCACAAAACCCACCCATGTGGAGAAACAGCAACATTAGGCCTCCTCTTTTGGACCAAGTCACAAGTATTAATCTTACCGTGACAAACTGTCCACAAAACCCGCAACTTTTATGGGCACTTCAGCCTTCTACTGCATCATTGACAGACCAAAAAACCAGAATAGACATATCATCAATCAAATAATAGAATATAATATGGCATGTATAAGAAACAAGGCAATTACATCAACAACAAAAAAAAAAAAAAAAAAAATTAGCAAGTCTTGGCAAGCATGAAAAGAGTCTCCGGATTGAATATGGATTAAATGTTACAAGTTCAGCATACAAATTCATCTATTTCCCACCAGTTTTTATGAGCTAATATTTAATCCCATTATCAACCACTGCCACAAAAAAGTATTCAACACTGCTGACCAGTGTTCATAGCATTCCGGAACAATTTAACATCCAAAACCTGAATATTACGGATTGACATATAGGCAGGCAACCAAATCTAGTGGTATATAATATGAGTAAGATAAAACTGAGAAAATTAAATGATGAAATTTGAGTTGAATCAAGCTTTTACCTGTCTTTCGTCTTCCTGCTCACTCGCCTTCTAGAAAATGCATCATTTGGTTTATCGAGTAAGATTAGGTTTTCCTCATAAGTATCAACAACAAAACGGTATGCAGTAGCATAAACTCCCAAATTCTTGATTTGCTGGCTCGAAGGGTCATATGAAGATAGCACCCAATCACTTGGTGCATTTGCCTCCAATAATATATGACCATTATTCCGTACACCTAATAGCTCCGTAATTCCTCCACTTAGATCAACGGTGAACTGTTTACACAGAGAATCAACTACACCATACTCTTTCATAATCCAAATGGAACAAGACTTGTTTGCAGCAGTATTTTCGTAACATAACAGAGAAAGCAATCCTCCAAATACTGAAGTACGGACCTCGGTTAGTGGGCCTACAATACCATCCGGTAACAACATCATTTGAAACACCTCATCACACAAATCAAACGACAAAATCAACTTATCATTGGTTTTCTTCATAGTCGCAACAAAATGAACCGCCCCTTCTAAATAAGCAGCGAAGCGCCCTGAATAACTTATAGTAATCCCATCCGGATAAGAGTTGCTCCCTGTGCTAGACATTCTCCACGAGCCCGCATTAAGGGAGTAAACCTCAATGTGTGTTGTTGTTGTTGGCTGCTTCACATTGGGCAATTTAGTTGGATAAAAGTCCGCTATTCTAACCAATTTATAATCGTTGGTCCGGGGAACAAATCCAAACCCATGATAATGCTTAGAGGTCTTGACAGTAGGCTTGGGCATAGCCATGGACTTTCTAATCGATGGGTTCCAAAGAAAATACCGATCTTGTTCGTGAAGGCAAAACAAACCTTTGACAGACCCAATTGCGAAAAAAAAGTGGAGACGACGACTCTTAATTGGGAATTCAAGTTCTTTATATTCATCAAATGAGTCTTGAGAATCAAGAAATAGTTTGTAGTGCTCTGTTCTGGGATCCGAAGTAGAAACACATTGCCTAACGATCATGAGTGGGAGATTATCATAACTGTTTATGTAGGTATTGGAAGTAAGAGAGTGATTGAGGTGGGTATTGATGAAATTAGGGCTAGTTACGAGAGAGTACCATGATTTGGAAACAGACCTGAATTGGATTAGGGGTTTGGTGGGTAGTCTGTGGAGGATTTCAACCACAATTTCGTCTGGAAAAAGGTCCGACATCGATATGACAATTGAATCGTGCTTGCTTTCTCTTCTTCTTCGTCTAGGGCTTGAGTTCAGCTCTCAAGCATTTGGGGCTTTGGATACGTGTTCTGGTATTGTATTGGCCAGAATAGAATACTATCAAATATGAAAATTTTAAAGACAGTCACCCGCGAAACTCAACCGCTGTCTAATCATCAAATAGATTTTGAAAACGAAAATGAAAAAAAGGGGCGGTTAGGTTTAATTCCCTAAAAAAACAGTAGTGATTTAGACCCTGAAACTTCGATTCCCAACACTCTCACACACACGTGGCGAGTGATGATTGGAAGAGAAGAAGAACAAAAAAAATGACCAATTAAAAAAAAAAGGGGGTCAAAGGAGGTAGGAGAAAAGGGGTCCTACTCTTTAGTTGCAAATCGATTCGATTCCAATCAAATCGCACAATTTGATTCGATTTTTTTAACGTACAATTCAATCTGATCCGATCCCGATCACATCTGCAATTTGATTTGATTTTTTTAATATACAATTAAATATAAGTTTTAAAATAGACGAATCATATTTTCAATATAAAATGTTAGTACTAGTTAGAAATTCAGGATTCATTTAAAATGTGAGTTGTTTTTTAATTTTTTAACTATTTTAATTTTGGATTAAAAAGTTTTGTTTTGAATAAATTTTTAAGTTTTATTTTATTTTTTGAAAAAAAAAATGATTATAATTTAGCCTATTTTATCTTATATACCTATTTTAACCAAACTAATGTCCAAACGGGGGCTCAATTTACAACTATATTGGACTGTTTACCTACTATAAACACTCAAATGTATTATTAGTATTAATTATGGAAGGTTTTTGGGTCTCCAGTATTTTAATTATTCATACATATGTAAATTATAATTTTTAATTTCACAATTCATCAATTATGAATAATATTTAATGATCATATTATGACTCTATGAGTGATTACAAAATTTTTAAGAACGACAATTTCAAACCTAACCAAAATGTTTTGAGTAATGCTAAAAATATTAATTAGTGCACCAACTAACACACTACAAAACATACATGTAAATTCCACCACTTGACATCTTGCGTTATGTTATGGATCCCAAATAAATTACCAAACAAATCACCAAATCTCTCACATTGATATAAGACTCACACAAATCACATCTATGTGAATCCCATACCCATGTCAGAAATTTGGTAATTTACTTGAAATCCATAACATTTTCCTAACATCTTACATAATATTGTTTTTAATTAGTATATTTATTGATACACTAATTAGTATTTATGACATTACTCAACCGGTTTTAATAATTCAATCTGATTTGATTTCAAATTTCATAAAACCAGTAATAGTTTGATCCTTGATTTACTCCTGCCAACCATACTCACCCCTACTACCTTTGGCTAGTGGCAATTGTGGGCTGCCAAATGGCCAACCTCCAACCACTGGTAAGTTTTCAATTACCTTCTTATCACCTCTAGCGAGTATCTAATAACTCACCAAACATGTTTCTTTATATTAGCTTTCAAAACATTTATGTACAAGAAATAAGATTTTGTTTCTGTTTTTTTGAAAAGAACAAAAAAAAAAAAACACTTATTTCATGTTTTATGTAATCAAAATACTGGGTTACTAAACAACAATATAGAGTTAAAGAGCTTAAAATGCCAGTTGCAAGAAACATTATAAGATGAAGCAAAAAATATATAAGTACAAGAAATAAGATTTTGTTTCTGTTTTTTTGAAAAGAACAAAATAAATAAATAAATAAATAAAAAAAACACTTATTTCATGTTTTATGTAATCAAAATACTGGGTTACTAAACAACAATATAGAGTTAAAGAGCTTAAAATGCCAGTTGCAAGAAACATTATAAGATGAAGCAAAAAAAATATAATAAAAACAAAATTTTTATACTCCATAATCATTTTACTCCTAAAAATGATATTTCCACTGAACATAATTCAAAACAATACAAAACCATTTCATCTGATGTGCCCCAAAAGAATCAGAATAACAGAGGTAGTTCTATTAGATAAAGACTGAGTCATATGTTTTGTCATCCACTGGGACATGCTTTGAATCCATTGAATATTTGAAATCATTCATCTTTGTTTTACCTGCATTATTTGCAATCTACAAAGTTAATGTACACAAACAGCATGAAAATCTATAATAAATATGCTTAATTTAAATGCTACTAAAAGCAAAACAGAGAGATCCATATATCAACAGATCATTTGAAAGTCAAAAAACAAATATATTATTCAAATGTGTTACATATAGCATTTGAACCAATTGTGTTCATCCCATTTGAAACAAACTATTTCTTTTCCTCAAAACAGTTGTTAGGTCAGGTAAGATCAATTTACTCATCAACGGATGATCTCATACCAACATTATCATTTTGGGGTTAGAGATGTGAGATTTATTAGTTGTACATTCAAATGCTAAACAACTCATTACAGAACACTTGGATCGGGTATACCAGAAAGCATCCATATGAAATTTTACAATACCTTGATATGTTGCTTTCACATCATTTGAGCACACCCCCACACACTTGCACTCTTAAGATTGATCTTTACTTTTAGGATATATATTATCATTTTGATTATTCATCACAATTAAGTTTTTGGGTTTGCTTTATTTGTGTTGAGTTTTAAATTTTTACCAACCCAATTCACCCTCTTCTTGGGTTGTCCACCAGGTTAAGAGATTCGACTCTTGATTTTGACTCAACTGTCTAAGAGTAAATTATAGCAACCATTGTTGGAAATTCTTATGCGGCAGACCAATTGACCACTACACCATTGCCATTGTTTAATGGCACCAACTACACCTATTGGAAGGTGAGATTGAAAATTTTCATTCAAACCATAGACTATAAGTTGTGAAGTGTCATAGTTATTGGCCCCGAAGTACCGTCCAACACCATCCATGGGCAAATCATGCCCAAGGAAGAACTTGAGTGGGAAAAGAACGACATGAAACTTGTTCAAAATCAATGTCGAGGCCATAAACCTCGTAACCTCATGGTTGTGGTGTCTGGAAAAGAATTGGGTTGGGTTGGGTTTGGTTGGGCTGGGAGGAGTTTTGGCATAGGATTCAACTGAAGGTAGGGCTAGGAGATAAGAGTCCATTTTTGGCATGATAAGTGGTGTGGGGATACTTCTTTAGAGTAGTTATTTCCTTCGATGTTTGGGATTGCAAAAGATTCTGAGGTTATGGTGGGGGCGGTTCAAACGGGGCAAGGACAGGCGGTGGTTTGGAACGTGCGACAACATCGTGACGTTCAAGATTGGGAGGTAGATCAATTAGTGGAGCTATTGGATTTCTTATACAGGTTGCAAGCTGGGAGTGTAAGGGAGGATTCTATGGTTTGGGGCTGTCCAGGCTCTAAGGGGTTATTTTTTGTGTGTTTGTACTATGGTGTGCTTGTTCATGTTGATGCGGTTTCGTTTCCTTAGAAATGTGTCTGGGTGTTGGGCACGCCATCCAAGGTAGCTTTCTTTGTGTGGATAGCGACCTTAGGACGTATTCTGACAATTGATAATCTAATTTATCATGGCCATATACTAGTGAATTGGTGTTTTTTGTGTTGTGGTGATAATGAGTCGATAAACCATTTGCTCGTTCATTACCCAGTCACATCTTAGCTTTGGATGCTTATTGTGGCAATTTTTGGTTTGGGGCAAGGTTGGGAGAAGACGTCGAAAGGCATGGATGATTGCGTCTCACTGTTTAATGTGGCTTATTTGATTGGAGCATAACAGGTGTGTCTTCCAAGGAGTGTCTCATTTGATTTCTTGGCTTGGAGAAGCGGCTGTTTTTGGTATTATATAATTGGGTTACAACGTTGGCTGATCCATATGTTTTAACTTATGTAGATTTTGTGGACTTGATAGCTTAGCATTTTTTTGCTTGGGGGTTTGAATTTTGTAATTTTTTGTATCATCTTGATGCTTTTCTAATAAATTTGCTTATTTATCACAAAAAAAAAAAAAAACCTCGTATATCATGCTTCAGATCATAATGAAGTCAATACAATCTCTACATGTGAATCAGCCAAAAAAATTTGGGATTATAAAGAGGTCACACATAATGGACAAATCAGGTTAAGGAATATAAGATTAGCATGCTTGTTCATGATTATAAGTTTTTCAAAAATAAATCTGGATATTTCTGAAATGTTTGAATTTGGTTCCCCAATTAAATTTCTTGGAATGGGCCAAAATTCCTGGGAACTTTCCATTATAATTAATTTGGTTGGGCAGCAGGGCTGATAAGTAATTATGTTCAGTTGGCGGTCTGCAAACTTTCAAGCAAACATCAAAATTTTTTTAATTGCTCCACTTTCTTTAGAACAATTTGGCAACCCAATCACCTTTTTGCTCTATAGACCAGTCCTTATTTTTTTAAAAAATATCTGACACTAACACCTCAAGCAACAATAACAACCCACCACTCCTACCACCATCAAGAGAAACCCATAAAACATACGCCAACAACAATGACAACATTTAAAAAAAAAACATCAAAACTAACATCTAGATGAGCTATTGAATAATTGTAGCAAATGTAAGACAACTAAAAGATGATACAAGTGTATCTATCCATGAAAGTATATACTACAACAAAACTCTGAGATAATTTTCGCAATAAGAAACACTTTATCACTCTTCAACATATTGATTTTATCTAACAAGATATACTAAAAACATAGCGTATCCAACTTGAACAACACAAAACAAATGAACTCATAGCTATAGTCATAACCCAAATTACACAATTCAATAGAATTTTTTAGTAAGCTCTGGATTGTACCTGGATCATGGCTGTGCATTAGTAGATGCCTGCACTGTAGGGATGAATGGTTTGCCATAGGTCTGCAATAATTGATCCTTCATCTCAGACAACTGCTTCAGCATTTCAGTACCTTCAGCCTTTATAAACTCTTCTGCCTCATGCCTCGTACAATCCTTGACTTGACCTGAGGAAGTGCAGCCATTCAAATCTTTGCCCTTGATGCCTACACCCCTGCCAAGGACACGACTGTGGCTCCGTTTCTCAGCAGCCACATCACAATCATTCACTGCGGAACTTTGAGAAGTGGCAGTGAGCCTTGTCGAATCGATTTGTTCCTGAAAAAATATATTAGAAACATCAAAAATATCACACAATGACTGATGAAAGCAGAAAATTGAATAATTATATTGATTTATTATGT